GTACTGGCTCCCCCGCTCTGCTCCCCCCTGTTCGCAGGTCGATTCCTCCTCGTGGGCTTCGGTTCGAGCTAGAAACGAGCCGGGGAAACGGTGGTGCTCGTTTGCTTCGGCTGGCGATGGAACCGCGGATTGTGCGGTGCTGCGTGCTGGAGGATTCTCTTATCCTAGCTACGCTACAAATTGATTGAATCCCTTGCCGCGCTATCGCGTGCTGCCGCCTCTTCTTCTTCTCTTCTTTGCCTTGGTGCGTGTTTAGCTGGTTTTGCGTGAGCAATCAAGGACATGCTTCTGCTATTGGGCGTCGAGAAACTGAGCGAGCGAGGGTAGCACGCGCGACATTGCTTTGCGGAAATCCTAGGTTGTTATTGCACCATTGATGAGATCGTGGCATTTGATTTGGTGATTCATTAATGCATCACGAAGATGGCTAGATAAAGCATCTAGCCTCTGCATTAGGTCGGGGCGTACCATGCACATATGGTAGTTGAAGTAAACAATTGTTTGTTCGTCATTTGCCTGGGCAGGCAGGCATGCTTATGTCGGTTTGATTATGATTATAGTTGCTGTTTATGAAATCGCTGGGTAGTTTCGGTAATGGTTCCCTAGGAACATTGCCAACTTCACGGATTTACAGTTCATTGTGGGTTTCCTTCTTCTTTTTGTTGTCGATGGAAATTGAAATCGCTGGGTAGTCACATGAATGGTTCCATACGAACATTGCCAACTTCACGGATTTACAATTCATTGTGGGTTTCCTTCTTGTTTTGTGTTGATGAAATCGCTGGGTAGTCACATAAATCATTCCCTACGAACATTGCCAACTTCACGGATTTACAATTCATCGTGGGTTTCCTTCTTGTTTTGTGTCGATGAAATCGCTGGGTAGTCACATAAATCGTTCCCTACGAACATTGCCAACTTCACGGATTTACAGTTCATCGCGGGTTTCCTTCTTTTTTTGTGGCATTGGCTCCCAAAACTGATTAACCTAAAACTTTTGTTGCATGGATACTTCCATGAATCTGGTATTCCCAAACGGCATATGTCTGGATGTTCCCTAACGACATATGTGGGGATAGAGGACTACTAGTTTTCCTTCTTTATCTTTTTAAAAATATGGGGTTACTTGGGGGTATTTTTGGCTAAATACATTCCAATAAGAGGCCATTTCAGGCCCAAAGCAAACTATCCCTTTGCCTCAAACCCTAGCCAAACATTGAGTTAGAGCATATCAGTTTGGAGCACGCCGCCGCCGCTGCCTGCAGCTGTCGCCGCCGCTCCACGGCTCCACCAGCTGTCGTTTGCCTCTTCTGGACACCTCCCACGCCGCTTCTTCCGGCGCTATTTCATAGGTAAGCTCTGCGGTGTCAAGCATTAAATTGTGTAATTCATAGTTACCAGATCCGCTCGTTATATGGTCGATCCCTGATCTCGATCGATAGATCTACATCAGGGTTCGAATTCGGAGCAATTCGTTCCCAAGTTGACTCCCGATTTGTGACCTTCATGGACCCAAGTCGGTCATTATGACAATAGTTCGTGCTGCTGCCATCACTGCCTGGATCTGCCGCTTCCTTTGCCGCTTTATAGTCCTGGTTCGGTCATTGTTCGAACACATCTATGACCGTCGCGTCGGTGCTTTCCTTGAGGAGAAGCAAAGGTAGTTGTCACGATGGGTAGGAGCAGCAGGGAGGCATCACGGTAGGAGCAGCATGGGTGACAGAGGTCTGCAAAGAGCTGGATGGAGGTGGAGCTGGCATGGTACATCAGAAGGGGGCAGAGGAGATGGGGGAAAATCAATGGAGCATGTGGCTGCGGGTTGAAGATAGCTCAATGCCTGAAAGCTGATGAGAGCGCTTGTTTGTGAGTACTTGTGATTTTTCGTAGCTGGTTCGGCCCAATCAACATGTGATAGGCATCTTTCTTCTCCATTTTACTCTGTCATGAAATCAATGGAAGTTTTCTTGGCGCTTGTGAGTCCATGTACTCCAGCTCCGATTTGCGGACCCAATCCTCAAGTCGTGAATCGTAGATGTATACCTTCTGATGCACTTGCTCTTTGGTCTTAAGACCAAACATGTGCAAATTCACCAGACGGACTCAAAGAAATCAGGGGAGTTGCTCTATTTGCAGGAACATCAAACACAACTCATATTGTAGTTGAGAAAAAACACATCTGAAGTAGAGTCAGCTGCATTTTTACAGGAACCAAACACAACCACATTATATCTACTCATGAGTCATGAACTCCTGGCGCTGTGGGTCTTCAACATGTCCGTATCAATCCTTAGTCCTGAATGAGGAGATCTGTATGCTCCATTTTCACTGCTAAAGTGCTAAACAACATCCAATTGGATCCTGGTGTGCTGTCTATGTAATTGGCTTTTCAGGTTCTTTGCTAGTTTCTATTGCATTGCTCTGTTTTTAAAGAATTATGGGCTTGCTATTTGTTAGTTGTTCTATAGTATGTTTGATACACAATTTGTTGATCTCTTTCCATTAGGGGTGAAGATGGATTTTTCTTTTAACTGAATGTCAATTTTTCTTTCTTTTTGTTATCTGCCACATGATAGATGATACTAAAATATTTGAGTTATTTATTAATCCCTCTGTCCCTACAAAAGGTCTTTTTGGCCTTCTCATGTTCTCCAAAAGACCTCAACAATTGATTGCAACCACAACACATTAGTAAAAGATGCTCCAAAATAATATCATGATTGTTGTTACACTATCTAGTACTTCTGTTTTCAAAGGTTTAATCTTATTATTTTATATTTTTTAACATGTGGTCAAAGTCGACTGCACGGCAAAAGGATTTCTATTTTAAGACTGGGAACTAGTGGGTTGTATCTACTACCTGACATATCTGAAGCACTGATCATACTCGCTCCTTTTGTTCAGTTTAGCTGTTGCTCTTTAACAGATAGCTTCCCTCCCTTCAAGTGGACTGTTTCAATTTCTTTCTATTATTAAATTGACCTGGAAGTCCCTTGATAAATGATCTACTAATTCTTTGGATATTGTATTCTTCTGTATAATCAGTGAGATACTTTCTTGAACATAAGGAAAGTTTGGTGGTAGCAGTCATTCTAAATTCTGAACTCATTGTGTATAATGTGGACAGCTATATCTTTGGTTGCCTTTTAGATTCATATTGTATAGTTATGCATCAAAGATTCTTCCCCGAGTTAATTATTTCTGTATTTCTTTTTCTTATGGATTTCTTGCGGATCCCTCCTCTGTTGATTATGTGACATTTACTGTTGAATGCTGGATTTTGTGTTCTGAGTAGCTATTCTTCTTGCTGATAAAAAGTATACCATGTTATATTTCAGTTACTGGACATTGATTATGCTTGGTGGATGAGGATGCCACAATAAAGAGGGTGGGGGGTTCGATAAGGTTCTTGTCTTGAAGCTATCCAGTGAGGGTTTAGAGTTGTTGCCTTTGAAGACTACAACCCATGCTAGTGAATAAATTGAAAAGGGAAGGTGGCTGGTGAACTTGAGTTAAGACATGTCCAAATCTACTCCTGTTAAAGCAAGCAAGAATTCTGAATTGAAGAAATCTACAGCCATCTTAACAATAGCAAATGGCCATGCTTGTAAGAAGGATGCAATTGGTGGAGAGCATCCTGTCCATGACATCAAGTCCACTGGTACTTGGATCTGTAGAAATTTGGCCTGTAAAGCTGTTGTAACAGCTGAAGATTCTTTCTGCAAGAGGTGCTCATGTTGTATTTGCCATCAGTTTGATGACAATAAAGATCCTAGTCTATGGTTGGTTTGTGCATCTGAAAATGACGACAAACAGTGCTGTGGTTCTTCTTGCCATATCGAGTGTGCCCTCCAACAAAAGCGGGTGGGATGCTTTGATCTTCAAAAAATTATTCATCTTGATGGGAGTTATTCATGTGCTTCATGTGGGAAGATATCTGGGATACTAGGGTAAGTACATGTTCATTTTATTCTGTAGATCTCGTTATCTTCATCATGCTTCTCATTTGCTTCTTGTCCTTGCTTCATTATTGCATCGTTAGTCCCTTGGACTAAAATGAAGTTACTTCGGAATATATAGCCATATTATTTTGAGTTAAATTATCTCATATCATAGTGCTGTTCAAAATAGCTAGTAGCTAATTTGGAATAGTTATATGCACTTGTTTCTTTGACAAGTCACAGGTCTTATTGTTAACCCATACATGATTTTCTCAGTTAGAAATCTGTGAAGGAAAAGGAAGCCAGATTTTCTGTATCATTATTTATAGTCAGCATGCACCGTTTTTCTTTGGGACGGTATTAACACATACCATTCAACTCAACTAATAATTGGGAACATGCCAGTTGTCTTTGCATTGGCCCTATGAGCTGGCTCTCCAGTATATGTAACATCCTTTTACTCCAGAAGCAATGGTCTCCTGTTAGTACAAATGATAAAATGATTGGGCTTGACAAATACCTGAAGCTGTCTTTTCATATGAAGCAAATCAATTAGAGCAGGAAATTTGGACGAGTTTAGCATGCATAATACTCTATACCCAGCATATTTCCTTTTATGAAGTTACATATCTCAGTGTTACTTTCTACAATTTCACCACAAATTCTACTTCGTACCAATACATGCATGTAATAATTAAATATATTAGTTTTGTTTTGTTTGAAATAACTGTCATGTTTTATTTTTCTTAGCATCAATTTGCAGCTAGTATTCACTTGTGACATTATTGAAAATTTGAAATGCTTGTTATGTTCCATGATTATTGATCAATTTGTAAAGTTGACATGAATGCTACTGCCTGGCAGTTATTGGAAAAGGCAATTAGTGATTGCAAAGCAGGCTCGCCGAGTTGATATACTCTGCCACCGCATCTATGTGAGTTATCAGTTGTTGGAGGGTACGAGCTGTCATACAGAATTGCATAACATTATTCAAGATGCAAAAGCAAAACTTGAATGTGAGGTCGGTCCACTTGATGGAATGTCGGCAAAGATGGCACGTGGTATCGTAAGCAGGTTATCTGGTGGTAGTAATATACTGAAACTTTGCTCTCTAGCGATTCAAAAAGTTGATGAGTTGTTGAGTTCTCCATCTCCAGGCTTGCATGTTCGAGGTAATGACCTTCCTTGAATAAATACAAGGTTCTAGACTGCCATAATAATTGTCATGGTGATTCTGCATAATTGTCATGGTTCTATACTTGTTTGTTTTGCAGGTTCATTACCAGCTGCGTGCAGATTCAAATTCGAAGATATTACATCGTCTTCCCTTGTTATCATCCTAAAAGAAACTAAATTAGCATCACCGGACACCATCAAAGGTTATAAGCTATGGTACTGGAAGAGCAGAGAGCAACCAAGCATGGATGAACCTGTTATTTTGTCAAGAGATGAAAGAAAAATACTTGTTTATAACCTCACCACATGCACAGAATATTCCTTCAGAATCATATCATTCTCAGATGCTGATGCGACCATTGGGCATTCCGAGTCTAAATGTTATACTGCGAGCAAGGAGGTATTTGTCAAATCTGTGACCCAGAAGGCCACGGGAATATGCCCGCAGACGCAGACAACGGATAGGAGCCAGGCTTGTATGTCCACTGGATTTAGGATCCGAGATGCTGGGAAGATCTTGCGGCGAGCTTGGGCTGAAGAAGGCTGTTTTGAGGATATGTACGAAGGTTCATGTGACATAAGTGCCACAGAAGCAGACCAGGCAGAGAACAGTGAACAGGGTCATATGTTATCTGGTGCATGTCGCAAACTTCAGTTCAATGCATTTTCTGTCCCTGACCTAAATGCACCCATGCCCATGGACATAGACTCTTCCCCTGAGAAGAGCTATGATTTAAATAACAGGCTTTTTAGGTCAAATGACAGTGGTGGCTCAGAGGCTTGCGAGGCAGTCAGGAGCGCGGAGCCGGCTGCTGTTGAATCTCGGCCAGGAGGCAAGGCAAAGCAGCCCAATGGTGCTCAGAATGAAAGCTGTGAGCAGGATGGAGTTTCAGCCATCTGCCGCCAAAAGCAACTTCTGAAAAGGCCTAGAGTTCTGGATGAGGACTATGAGTACTGTGTGAAGGTGATACGGTGGCTGGAGTGTGACGGGCACATAGAGACTGATTTCAGATTGAAGTTTTTGACTTGGCTGAGTCTAAGATCGACTGAGAATGAGCATAGGGTTGTGAACACATTCATCAAAACACTAATCAAAGAACCAAGCAGTCTGGCTGAGCAGCTTGTTGATTCTTTCGGAGAGATGATAAACTGCAAGAGACCAAAAGTAGGTTTCGGCAGTGAGCTATGGCATTTGGACAAACAATAACAATTCAAGAGTTCGCTAACTCATTGGTATTCTATAATTTTTCCGATCAAGGGCAGTGAATTCCGGTTGCTTCTGTCGCCCAAAATGAGAATGAGGGGGTTAGGTTCATAAACTTGATAATCACCGCACCGACCCAGCTATCAGATTATTACCATACCTTATAAGTTCAGATCAGAACGTGCACAATTTTCTTGAGTGTCATCATTTCGACCATTACCATACCTTATAAGTTCAGATCGGAACATGCACAATTTTCTTGGGAGTCGTCATTTCGAGCCTATGGGATTAGGATATTTGATTTACTTAGAAATTCCTATCTTCTTGATTCTACTTAGGAAAATCATTTTAGGCGGAAAATAGATTGCATTGAAAGATTCCTGTTCCACCTGTAAGTAGTGGAAACAATTTTATATTCTCATTGGTTTAGTACTCTATATTCTGTCCGAGCCCTGGAAAAAATCTTATGTGATGTCATGTATGGCTTACATGTGCTTGGGACCTCTTTTTCAGTATGGATGATTTTTTGGTACTAGATGTTGGCTAGGATATATTTGGCTGGTATAAATGTTTGGTACTACCTGTTTTTTAGTTTACTAGAACAATGTTCGTGCGTGGCAACGGAATATAAATATTCTAGTAGGTTAGCTTATGATTTACATTGTGTAAATAAATATTCATCAAATTCTGACCATGAATTACTTTGTATTTTGATTAGAAGTTTGGTAAGTAAAGTAAAATGGAATTGGTTTAGAATGCAAGTAAATTAAGGTGATTGATTATCTGGACGAAGGGGTGGTGGGAAGAAAGGTGAATGAAACCTTACGTTCTTTTTCAAGTAGTAGAGATTACGCCCGCGTGTATCCCTAAATCGATAATTTGACCAACATAATTTGGGTTATATATTACAAAAATTATTCCATTAGAAATTCAGATGTTCTACTTTCTGTATGACTTTTGTGATACACTATATTTCATATTACATTGGTAAAATTGACAATCTAGGGATATGTGGAAGACCTATAAACAAAGAAGGATGGGCCATACTCCCCAAACCCTAGCCTGGCGCTTGGTGTGATGCCGTTTCCGGATATCGGGGGTTCTGGTGATAATAGTTGGTTCAGCAGGGGCTTCCTCCTCCAGCTTCATGGTTGCAAAATCCTCTAGCCATTTTCTCAAGATCATCATGTGCAACAGTTTGCTTCACGGTTGCAGTGCTCGTAAAGGTAGGTGGCATATGTCAGAGAATCTTTGCCGTCAAATAGGGCATGTAGAAAGTCACGTGCAATATGGAAGTAGTGATTGAAAGTCACGTGCAGTATGGTACTTCCTCCGTTCTTAAATATAAGTCTTTTTAAAGATTTTAATAAGGACTACATGCGAAGCGAAATGAGTGAATCTACACTCTAAAATATGTCTACATACATCCATATGTAGTCCATAGTGGAATCTTTAAAAAGACTTATATTTAGGAACAGAGGGAGTAGCACTCATCGAAAATCACAGCCACAACACCTGAGGATCTGCCACCATACCTCAGTTAGCTCCAGATTATTAGAGTTTATGACTACTCGGTTGCAACCAGCCAATATGTGCGAGCTGGAGCCCGAACTTCATGGCTAGAGCTTGTGTTGATAGGACGTCGATACAACTATCAAGTAGACGCTCAGGATTGCGCCTGTGGCTCCTCGGAGCAAGTCGTGATCAAATGCCGCATCGACATCTAGCTTGGTGTAGCCACTCGGAGGTTTGAGCCATCCTCCTTTCTTTGCCATAGCCTTCGGGGAATAGGCAACCATGTAGTTTGACACAAGAACCACACAAGAACTCGAATGGCTCGATCCGTGTCTGCCCTTGGTGCACTAGTTCATGTCTTCCCCACTATCAGGCACCAACGGCAAACAGCCCGCGGCTGTTTCCCAGCCCGAACACAGCACAGGCTTGAGTAGATAGGTGGAGAAGGAACTGCGGAGCAGCCTCACCCGCTCGGTCACCAGCACATGCCCTAGAAATCAATCAATTCTTCAACTCTTACCAGCCTCCAAATTTTCTTTGCCTTGCGACGCTGCAGGAGAGCTGTGACGCACGTCTTCCTGTCCCTGCCCACAAGCCGGGCATTCTAATTAGAACTGCCAGGATTTTTTTTTCAAATAATAAGATCGTGTAACGATTTATGAAATATGGTGGCTCAGACATGCTCAACACACGTCCTGGTTTATTAGCCCCCCTCATAGTTAGGGTCATATTTTAACCAGGATTTTCGCTAATAAAATATAAGTTATACATAGCAAAAATAACATCATCAGAAACTATGTTCAAATACGAATCCGAATGACATAATTCTTTATGACATGCATTAACAATTTGTTAGTTAAATCTATGGTCAAAATTTGGCACAAAATACGGAGGGGACCAATAAGCCAGGATGGAAAACAAAATGGCCATTTGCGTTATGGTGAGCATCCCAATGGATGAATGAATAAATGTATATGCCTCGAGGGGGCACAACAAGTAGGGCCTTCAAATATTCCTATGTGCAAGCCTTTTTGTTCACGGCAAACCCGTTCTTACGAATGATCTCATAACAAGAGATTCAGATGTGTAGAACCACCAGACCCCTTCGACCTATCAAACTGCCGAAACACTTTCAGCCAAGGACAACATTCAACAACACCATGACCTCCTGCTATTATGGTCACGCGGCTGCTGGCAACTGGCAGACTGCTTCGGCCTTCGGGGATGCGCCAACTACATATTTGGAGACGCAATTCAAACAATTATTTATGAGCACCCAACCCAGCATGATGTCAGGTGGAATCAAGCGGCACCGTCTGCAGCACCGAGACGGATGCTCCCACGAAAAACAAGCCCAACGAACTCTTTCCTGCAGAAATGTGACAACATATGATGCAGGCTTGACTGTTCTTTTTCAATTTGTCAGTCACTGTCCCAGTCCTCGTCGGTATGCTTCTTCGTTTGGCTGGTTCTGCCACCACGCATCCAGTTGTCGCCAGTATCCTCCTCCTCGCTGCTGCTCTTGTAATTAGGAAAATTCACGTTCGGGGCACTCGAGCTCGTCTCTTCCTTGTAATCTGCTCCCCACACCTCATCATCTTCACTGTCTGACACATCATCCTCACTGTCCTCAGAAACACTAACTGCATTCTTTGGGGTCCGGCTGGGACTTCTGGAGGCCCCAGGCATATAATTCTGCCTGTGACTGGAACTACTCCTCTCATGTCGCATGCTGTCAAATCGCCGAGGATGTTCATCAGGTACATGCCTCTCCTTGTCGAATCCAACCATACTATCCCTGCCATCATCAATGTCCCAGTCCTCGCCTGACGCCTCGGTATCATCATCCAACCTGCTCGAACCTGATGTTCTTCTGTTGTTTTTGTTCTCTCTCCTGTGTCTTCCCTGGCTTCTATCCTCAGCATCTGAGTTATCATAGCTTCTCCCGAAACCCCTGCGCTCACCCACATCCTCACCTGACGCCTCTATCTCACTGTCATCATCCCATCTCCTTGTATCTGTTGCCCATTTATTGTTGTCGTTATCTCTCCTGTATCTTCCCTGGGTTCTATCATCGGCATCTGAGCTGTCATAGCTTCTATTGAAACCCCTCCGCTCACCCATCATCTCTTCTCTGTAGCGATACTGCAGCCTTGAAGTTTCTTCTTTCTCTGCTGCCTCCTCTTCCTCCCATTGCTTCTCTGCTGCATTCTCTATTTCTGCAATGAAGTTGTCAAGCTCCTCCTGGTCGCTATCCTCAGCTGGCTCAACATCTGCTTCTTTTAATTCTGTAGTCCCAGCAGTAGGTTGTTTATCCCCATGGAAGACATAGGGAGTACCTTGCTGCTCGTCTATGGCTCGAAAGAATGCCGAGGCAACTCGCTGGATGCTGGCCATGGCAACTGGGTCCTCTGGGTTAATACCTTTGCGACGAAGTTGTGTCTCTATTTTCTTGATATTCAGTTTCTGTGACTCAAGAGCCTGCTCATATCTAGCCTTGAATAAAGCCTGCAATAAGGATAAGGATAGCAAACTCCATTATCCATAGCACAAAGCCAACAATATACCCAAAATTAACAGAAAATGGACATAGCCCAAAACATTAAAAATCAATATTAAATTCTGGTTGAACTATCAACTGAAAAGGTGAGAGCAATCGATATTAGTTTCAAAGTTCCATACATATAGGGTGTATTCCCTCCGTTCCGAATTACTTGTCTTAGATTTGTCTAGATACGGAGGTATCTAGCACTAAAATGAGTCTAGATACATCCGTATCTAGACAAATTCAAGACAAGTAATTCGGAACGGAGGGAGTATGATCCAAAGCTAAATGAGAAGCTAAATGAGAGCTACAAACATTTTTAACTGCAAGGGACTGACCTTCCGTTTGGTAAGTGTGTTAAAAGGTATGAGGTTCTTTGGTTGACGGTAGTTCCTTCCACGAAACATGATAATTGTTTTGGTATTGTGAATGTTAACCACTATACCACCACTCAATCTTGTCAGCATTGATGCCATTTCCTTAATTTTTTCCTTCGGGAAATTGTCACAGCAAACTTGCACTGTCTCATGGAATTTCCAGTGCATGTGCATGTTTTGAACAACACCTCCAAAGACTCCACGAACTCCAACAGGGACATAGTTTTTATTTCTGAATCCAATCTTCTTGTAAGCCTGTAGCTGCTCAGCTGTTAACAGCTCTGGATCATGACGAGGAGCTGGTAGGTCTGGTAGCTCATACTTCTTGAGCTTTTGTAGAAGTAAAGCAACTTTTTTCTTGGCCTGCATAAAATTAACCAGATAACTAGGTAAGCCAGTGAATTCGCTATTATAAATTACCATCTGACTAAAATAAAATGATTAAAATCAAGACTATAACACAAGTTGAGTAAAGAGAAATATGCGAAATAACATATATTTTACTTAGCCAGATCCTCATAGAGAAGGAATGGATGATGAGGTGAGTAATACCCAATTCAGATAGGATTTTGTGCAGATCAAGCACAAAAAAGGGGAAAGGTGTGGAAATCTGATTTCCTGATAGATCTAGAAAATGTAATTTCTTTTCATTATGTGCTTCAATGCAGCAACTAGATAATTGTTTTCTTTAAATACGGAGAATAATACTTTTATGACCAAAATTTCATTAAGAATGTAAGCATTATATAAGTTATGATGTGACTTCTTTTTCATCGGGAGCAGGAATGCCCCAATAGACTTATAATATCACTACATCAGGTCTAGTGTATCGATGTCAGATATTTATATGAGAACCAAACTGTATAGAATAATTGGCATAAGCAATAAGTCATTTTAGCCCTTTTACTTGTGAAAACATACAGGCGGTGGTAACCATTTATGTGCAGACATCAGGAGTGACATGGGAAGCCACAGGACTTAATTTTCTAGCGGAGTTAGCTGATGTGTTTTGATGAGAGCTAACCTTTATTATCTATATCAAAATTTCTAGTTTACAGGCATATAGTTAGATTTGACAATCATTTACAGGCGGTGGTAACCATATGTGCATACATCAAGAGTGACATGGGAAGCCACAGGACTTAAATTTCTAGCGGAGTTAGCTGATGTGTTCTGATGAGAGCTAGCCTTTATTATCTATATCAAAATTTCTAGTTTACAGGCATATAGTTGGATTTGACAATCGCAAGATAGCGACTTAATTCTTTCAGTTCAACAAAGTCCCTGACAACATAATCTTGATTGTCAAAGTCAAGTCCCAACAACCTAATGATACCATCTTCCTTCTTTGATTCATTAATACTCCCTCCGTCCGGAATTACTTGTCGCGAAAATGAATGTATCTAGAACTAAAATACGTCTAGATACATCCATTTCCCCGACAAGTATTTCCGAACGGAGGGAGTACATCTGAACAAATTTCACAATGCAAATGCTTTTCTCACCCTTTCGTTTAGCATTGGTAATGACAAAACATCTTCAACCCCTTTCAAAAAGCCACACATTGAGCAAATATCACCATAAATTACAGCAGTTCAAAACAGCATATCTTGTTCCATGATAGAAAAGGAGAGGGATCACAGCGAGATGGCGCAAGCACCATGGCCAGAGCATTTCGCCGGCGCCGAAGGGGGGCAGGGGGGAGGAGGAAATGGTGCTTCACTTACCCTCCGCATGCTGTGGATGAGCCTCTCGTCCTCGGTCATGAGCTTCTTTCGGAGCTTGACCGCGCGGCGCAGCTCCTTCTGCGTGCGGCCGGTCTCCCTCCCCATCCGCTTCTCCACCTTGCTCCGCATGCTCCTCCCCTTGCTCGTCGACATCAACCGCCGGCATACCCCACCGCCGTCCGTGCTCGCCGGCACTAACGCGGCTGATATTGAGGCCGCAGCCGCCTCGCCCCCTCGCCCCCTCGCCGCGAAGTCCTCGGAGCTAATCGACGGGGCGCACCTCCGGTGGAGCGACGAAGAGGCTGCCTTCGGGAGGTTCCGGCGGAGGCTTCTCAGAGCCCACATGGCTCGGTCGACCGCGTCGCCTGGCCGCCGGTGGTTCTGGAAGGCGGCGGCGGCGGCAGCGAGGTAGGCGGAATGGGGGAGGGTTTAGCAGGCGGCGCGGGCGGTAAACCCTGGGCTGGTCTCCGGCTGCAGCTGCAGGAGCTTTTACCATCCGTTGGATGTGCTGCTGTCCACGTGGAGGAGCGTCCACCGTCAGCCTACCAGTTGGTTGTAAGAATATAGCATTACACTGTAGTCCTCCAAAATTATCACGATTACGTGTTTGACCGTCAAACTATTTTTCTTTAAAAGAACACCCAAAGGGAAACTTATTTTATAATTATGAAAAATATAGAATACAATGAAAGACAACAAGGCATAAAATGACCGGTAAAAATAAAATTACGTCAAAAATTACATTCTTTGTATTGCACAAAAACAAACTTGAAAATGCACTGAACTAGCAGTAAGAGAAAAGGATTGCTATACTCTCTCTATTCCTAGATATAAAGCTTTTAGAGATTTCAATGTGAATTATATAAAGCAAAATGAGTGAATTTATATTCTAAAATGCGTTTATCCACATTAGTATGTAGTCCGAATTGAAATTTCTTAAAGGTCTTATGTTTAAAAACAAAGGAAGTACTGGATTCTGAAGGCCGCAATAGTCACTCACGATCAGAAACGGGATCTAACAACAATTGAAACAGGGCCGACCCTGAGAGAGAGCGGGAGGGGGGACGCCCCGGGCCCTCAAAATTCTGGGCCCACACAAATAAGTTGCAGCTCATTTAGCCATAGGCCAAGGAGCCACGTGCATAGAGTGCTACTAGCAGACATGCGACTCGGCGGCAGTCAGCACATATATACACGCAGCCTATGAGTCAAGAGTTGAAAACAGAGAACTTTATGCCTCACATTACGCAAACTGTCGGGGATCCGCATGGAAGCGTCCCCGATTGGACCGGCCCATTTACTTTTTTTGGTTTATTTTTCATTTATATTTCCTTTTTTCTTCAATTTATTTTTTTGAAAAGTCATTTTTTAATGTTAAAAAATTTAAAATCTGTTTGAATTTTTAAAAATGTTCATGTTTCTGAAAATGTTTGGAAAATTCAAAAGTGTTTGCAATTTTAAAAATTGTTCCTGAATTTAAAATTTGTTTATAAAAATGTGCGTGTTTTTGAAAATTATTTAGGGATAACAAAGAATGTTCAGATTTTCAAAAAGTGTTCCCATTCTTCAAAATTATTCACGGGTTCAAAAAATGTACGCATTTTCAAAATTTGTTCAAAATTTTAATAAATGTCCATGTTTTCAAATATCATTCATATTTTCAAATAATTTTTGTAGATTCAAATATAGTTCGTTTCCACGACAATGTTTGAGTTTTAAAATTTTGGTAATTTTTTTGAAAAATATTCACGTTTCAACAATTCACCTTTTCAACAAAATGTTCGCGTTTTATATTCTTTTGGGATCTGGCGTTGTTGTTTTAGTTCTTTAGGCTGGCCATAGTGGGGAGTATACACTAGTATCATATACTACATCCATAGTGCATAGTATCATAGTTTAGTAGGTGATCTCATTTTTTGGCATGCAAGACATATAGTAGCATAACATTTATTATGATACGGTATCTACTTATGTTACTACAACTCTCTCTCTCTCTTTTTTAATTCTCTATCACATAAGCATGTTTGCGAGTCCCAAACACATGATACCAGGTATGTTACCCCCACTATGGCCAACCTTAATGTTGTAGCCCTTGTCAGCTCTAGTGGGCAACATCTCGCAGTCTCCAACGAAAGGGATGTGGTTCGAATCTTCGCAAGTGCACCTTCTTTTTAGGCGTTTTCAATATGTGTTGGTACAACATCCGCTAATGAGCCTACCAGCGTGGCTCCAGTGTGTGATTTGACGACTATTTGTCACGAAACACAATATATAGGAGCTCCCGTTGAGGACCATGACCTCGCCCTGCCTATTTTGCTTCTGATCAAGCCAGTGAGGGACACGACTTCGTGATGATTCCTAGCTATTCGCATATTCCTCTAGGCCCCATCACCTGATTGAGAATTTGCGAGCCACTGGAGGCACGAGTTGCGCCACCAATGCCGACACTCCGATCTCTAGCCCCCGACGTTGGTCGATCAGGCACAACCAGACCACACCGTCGAGCGGCTCCGCCTGATGAGAGTCCACTCCATAGTCTCCACATCGTGTCATGGTCGAGTGCCCGCTCATGGGCCGAGTTGCTCTGATCTAGACGATCCAAGATACTCCTTATTCTCTACTACTGTAGATGACTCGTTGCATCATTAGCACAAAGACCAACCACAACCGTGAAAGTTAAGTAAGCTAAGGGCGTCACGTATAACGACATCATCATCCCGAGTCTTGTGTCGGTCGCTTTACCAGTTGTATAACAACCACTTCCCTTTACACATCAGGCCGACTAGAGCAGTAAGCGAACATAAATGACAAATGCATTCACATGCTCCCGTGGCATATGATTAAAGTAGGATGCTGAAAGTGATATGAAAATGTCGCTTATCGATAGGACACATTACACTAGGAATAAGCTGAAGGGTAAGCAACTGCCATACGAAAGCACTGCGGCATGGATTGGTTAGGTCCGAGCCTTCCGAGCTGCCAGTCTTTATCACTCATGGATCCGGCCTAGGGTCCTCCGCATCGCTTCGATGCCACATCTTGTGCGTTGTTCCACACGTTTTGGATGAGCCCGTGTCGGACTGGCAGTGTTGTCCGCTTCCTACCGGCCTAATCTTTTTGTGCGAAAGGGTTCGCGCATGCACCCAACTCGGTGTGTGTCATGCCTAGCCTTGTCGTGTGGGGTTGTGAGGGCTTGGCTGGCCGGTTATGTTTGTGTATGCCCGTCGGCGTGCTGCATGCCCAAGCATTGCACAACGTTTTACCCGGGATTTGCATGTCCGAACCCTTGTCGTCACATGCCCTAGCTGGCTAGCGCTTGTGGGGCGCTTTGTTGGGTTGTACATAAGAGTAAACATCAACCCACTCCCTTTGCACGTTGGATCAACTAGAGCAGTTAATGGACACAAAGGACAAATTAAAAGGATCGATATGGTTGATTAGAGGGGGGTGAATAGGCAACTAAATTTTTTAGCTTTTCTTTACCAAATTAAACTTAGCATAAAAATAGGTTGTCTAGATATGCAACTAGGTGAGCAACCTATATGATGCAACAACAACAATCATACAAGCAAGCAAGGGATACAACACAATATAAGCTTGCACAAGTAAAGGTAAGAGATAAGCTAGAGTGGAGCCGGTGGAGACGAGGATGTGTTACCGAAGTTCCTTCCCTTTGAGAGGAAGTGTGTCTCCGTTGGAGCGGTGTGGAGGCACAATGCTGCCCAAGAAGCCACTAGAGCCACTGTATTCTCCTCACGCCCTCACACAATGCGAGATGTCGTGATTCCACTATTGGTGTCCTTGGAGGCGGCGACCGAACCTTTACAAACAAGGTTGGGGCTATCTCCACAACTTAATCGGAGGCTACCAACGACACCACGAAGCTTCACCATAATGGAATATGGCTCCGCGGTGACCTCAACCATCTAGGGTGCTCAAACACCCAAAAGTAACAAGATCCGTAAGGGATTAGTGGGGGAATCAAATTTCTTTTGGTGGAAGTGTAGATCAAGGCCTCCTCAACCAATCTCTAGAAAATTAACAAGTTTGATTGGCTAGGGAGAGAGACCGGGCGAAAATGGAGTTTTGAGCAATAATGGAGCTTGGGGAGGGAAGAGGTAATCTTCTTGGCGAAGAAGACCCCCTTTATATAGCGAGGGAAAAGATCCAACCGTTACCCCTTCACTCAGCCCGTGACACGTGGTACTACCGCACACGCTTGCGGTACTACCGCTGGATGGTGCGGTACTACCGCTTGCGCGGTAGTGACCAGACGAGGCCTTGTTGCGCATGGCAACAAGCGGTAGAACCGCTGGAGCGATACTACGACGCCCCCCTGGGTACTACCGCAAGGCAGGGCTCTACTGGGTTGGAAAAAGCACGGACTAAATAAATTACGTCCGTGACTACTTCCGCTGAGTTTAGGACTGTGCGAAAATCCGGCACGGTACTACCGCTCGCAGGGAGCGGTACTACCACAGGTTACTTCCATGCCTACTTCCGCATGCGCTAGTGTCAGGGCTGGAGGAAGTGATACTACCGCTCACCAGGAGTGGTACTACCGCTGGTCCCTGCGGTACCACTGCTCCCTTGAGTGGTACTACAGCAAGCCCCTGCGGTACTAATGCTACCTTGAGCAGTACTACCGCATGCCACAGAAACTCTAGCATTCGGAAGCCTCCATTTTGCAGAGACACGGATGAACGGACGGTGCTCCAATGAAGCGAAGGAAAGGTGGTCCAAAGGAACAGATGTGTACGTGTTGATTCCACCCTAACCTTTCCGAAACGGACCTCCTCTTAATAGTACACCTTTCCTACGACTCAAATCCACTGAAAAGAAACATAGATAACCGCCGTCTTCGATGGGCTTCGAGGGGTACCGAATCATCTTGTGCCTGGATATGAGATATATGAAATGCTCAATGCACACGATTAGTCCGCAAATGCACTGTCATCAATCACCAAAAACACATGGGGAGAAATAGGCCCTTACAATCTCCCCCCTTTTGGTGGATTGATGACAATACGGGATTTGCACATAGGGATATAAAACGAACATAAGCAAACCCAAAATCTATAAAATATAGACATGCTCCCGCTAGATGTGTGCACTATAAATATGCTTTGGACTGCACAACACACACCCACTAGGATCAACACTCCCACTATATTTTATGGACAAGGCAAACCTTGCAACAATAAGTGACACTAAGCATGGAAGCAAGGTATAGAAAATGAGCATGAAGTAAATGGCACAAGATAAATTGAGCTCACAATATACTAAACATACTAGACAATAAAAGATAAGCTTGAGGACATATGTCTCACACCATATGATAGAAT